TGCTATGGAACTTTTGTGTGAATGCAAAGGTCAGACTGTCGTTGGTTATCAGTTTGAGATCTGCTCATTGGTTATCCTGTTCCCATGGTGAATCAGTTGCTTGGCCTGACAAGTAGATTAGCTGGTGGGGTGGGGGAGGTGTGTGGTATAGGGTTCTTGGAGATCTCTAAAGTGTCATCACTCCTCCACTCAAGACTTCTCACTGAGACTAATTATCTTCACTAGGTGGAGATAATTATCATATATTCTGATACATTTTAAGATCAGGAATAAAAGAGTTTTGAAAGCTGCAGTCATAATTTCCCATTTTCCTCTATTCCCCTAGGACCTCCCGAACTCCTCTTGTTCTACTTACTAAGGTCATCTGAACCCAGAAAAGTACTGACCCCATGGATAAGCCAATGAGGAAGTGGGGGCTGTGGGAATTAAGAGGTAAAGAGGCTCACTCTTAGCTCACTTGCAGACAGTGGGAGCCTCGGGTTGACACTGCATGGTTTGACACTGCATGGTAGGCAGCATTGGACTGCGCATCAATAGGCCACAGGGATTGTCTCGATCACCTCAGAGGAAATCGCTTTGCCCTCTTGGGCCTTGGTTTCCTCATGCGTAACATGAGATGGATAAACCAGATCATCTTAATGATCCCAACCCAAAGCTAAAGGTCTCTGGAACTTTGGTTCCATGTTTTCCAAATGCTCCCTACCTCTTGGATCCATCATGGACTCTTCCTTCCCATTACTCTCATATATCCAGTCCATTAGCACATGCTGTCAGTTCTAATTTCAAAGTAGCCCACAAATCCATTTTCATGACCATTATAATTTCCATCACTATAATTTCCCCTAGATGGCCATGAGATCTTCTTGCTTGGTTTCTCTGCTTCCATTCTTGACTATTCGCTGCCCAATTCATTTTCCTCATAGCTCCCCAGATTGGTATTTTAGCATGTAAATCAATCCTTCCCTTGCTTAAAACTCTCCAATGTCTTCCCATTATATTTAAAGTAAAACTCTAAATCTATACTATGGTATGGGGCCTCACATAATCTGGACTCTGCCTGTTTCTCTGATGTTGTCTCAAACCCGTTCTCATTCACTGCAAGCCATATACACTGCTCACCCCTTCCATCCTTGAAAGCAGCCAAGCTCTTTTGCATCTGAGAGGCTTTGCACACGGCTATTCTGTCTCTCAGCTCTGTGCAAGCCCACCTCTTTCTTACCTATCAGCTCCTCAGAGAAACTGTCTCAGAACTCCTTAAGTCAATCCCCTGTAATTCAACTTCCCTTATTATCTATTGCTACAGCAGGGTCATTTTATTTGTAGTGCATCACAATTGCCTGTTTAATGTCTGTCTTACAGCACTATACTCAGCAGCTCCTTGAAGCAAATACTCCTAGCCCCCCATGCTCCTCATTGATATATCTTCATATTCTCAGCACCCTGCACCATGCCCTGCGTATCATGGACAATTAGCAATATCTGTTGAATAAGTGAATGAAACTAGCTACAAATAGGGGGAAAGGGTGCAGAAAAGAAAGTTGAAGGAACTAAAAATACATATTGCCTGTGATAGTTTTGTTCCTCTTTTAGTTTATCTCTTCTCAAAATGTTCCTCTCTATGGGAAAAGGAATCTAAATATCTATTAAAAATAGGTCATCAGATGCAAGAAGCAGGTCTATGAAGTCAATTCACGGATGGCATTTTAATCTCACCATCAGCCTAATGCAAAAAATTGAAATCTGTGATCATAGCTAAACTGAATTTTAACTTTGGAATGTTAAATAGCTTACACAAACCCAATTTCTCATATAAGTATTTTAAGGAGAGTTGGGAAGAGTCTTTAAAGCATTTCAGGAGCATTTACTGGTCTATGTCATTGAATATGTTAATCACAGATTATTTATCCATGGTGTTAAGTGCAGAAAACATTGGCTTGAGCCACTGTGGCCAGTGCTGCTGGCTGATTCCTCCACAGCCATCCCAACCCCTTCCCTTCTAGAGGCTAGTTAAGTTCTTGCCTTACTGGCCTTCCTTGCCACTATAAGTGATCATGGGCCACTGTTTCTGACTAAAGAGAGAAAAGCAGCCATCAGCTGCTGTGGTGCAGAGTATTCTGTTAAGCTTTTTTTTTTTTTTTTTTTTTTGAGCCAAAGAGCTAGAAATGGCAACCCTTCTTCCCCTTCTTGCTGCTTGAAACATGCACACGATATCTGGGTGTAGCCATCCTGTGAATATGAGCAAATGCCAAGACAATCCCAAAACAGCAGATCCTGGTTTCATTGAACCATGAGCTGCTGTCTGCTTCCATGCTTCTTATAATGTAAGAAAGACAACTCTTCATCTGTTCATATTCTTGTGGTCAGATTATTGTGTTAATTGCAGGGAAGCACATTTAGCTACATTTTGTTGGCTTTGATTAATAGACCTTAACATGAACTTTGAAGAGATGAAGAGATAAAGCTACTCGTGTGTGAGTGTAAATACATGTAATTCAGATGGAATCTAGTTTCTGAAAATCTAAATTAGTGAGGATTTATGCTATATTCTTTAAGTAAACAGCAAGAACAACTAACTGAAGCTCATTTGGAAGGATATTTGATGTATGCAAGCCCTTTAAAGCTCTTCCCACCATAACCCAGATTATCTGACACAGTGCTCTGCATGTTAGAGGCCCATGAACCTTGGCATGAAGTTGAGTGGAAGCTCAATATATAAAATCAATAAAATAACAAAAAATGGCATTTGTTTTATAGTGCTTCCTGGATATTATATTCTGGGTTCTATATGTATCATTCTATTTTAAACCTCACAACAATACTTGCGGTGGGAACTATTCCATTCTACCAGTGAAAAAACAGGCGGAGAGTGGAGGTATTCTATCAAAGATTGGGAGGAAGGAGGCTGGGTTGGATCCTGTTCAGTCTCCTCTTCACCTCAGTGTTGGTTCCTAAGATACTCTAGTGGAACCCTCAGAAGGCGTGGAGGCAAAGTTTGAACATCCTTCTGCAGTCAGAGGTCACAAACTCAAATACCCTCCCAGGGGCCAGCTGAGTAACACAGGAATGAAGGTGGTTAGCTGGGGGCGTCGGTGCCGAGGGGGATGACGGATCAGCTGAGGAGGGCAGCTGCCATGCGGCTGTGCACAGCCATGACCAAATTCTGTGCAGATCAAATAAAAACAGGCCTGGCAGGGGATTCGGCTCTTGTGGGCCACTGACTTGAGACCTTGGGAGGAAGGTGGGGAGTATGAAAACATACCCTGAGGTCAGACCACACGCGGGTGAACCATTAGGAGGTGAGATGCCCATGGAGGAAAGAAATAATGGAGAACAACAACCCCTGGGTCTTTTTAGACCCGTGCATATTGTGATGGCCCTACATTATACTGACGAGCTGAGAGTCATCCCTTCCCACTGTTTATCTACTGGCCTGATTTATTTTTAAGCAAGTCCTTCCCCTGCTTGGTTCTATCTACTCTTCACCATGTGTTTGCCAGTATTGGCCAAGCATCCAGTCTCACACCTCCTCTCCCACGCACCCCACCCCCCAACTGTCTTCTTATTTAAAGAAAAACAAGATTATAATGGTGAACAATGAGACTACCTAAATTATACAGCAGCCAAAATGGGTCCTGAGGGAAGCTCCTCAGGGAGAATTTTATTCCATTACTACTTAGGAATATTGGTTCTCATTGACTCTCAAATGCAAATCAGACAGGTGGTAAAGATGCCTCCAGCACAGGTCCACAGGGGCTTAATATTTATGCAATTTGCCCCCAGAGGGTGACAGTGTGTGCAAATCTATTCACGACAGCCACGTTGTAAGTCATGACACCCTGTGTGCTTTAGGAACTTGGTAGTCTGCAAGGGACTGCCTAGTGGAAAAGGAGTTCATAGACAGTGAACAACCATAAAAAGAAAAGGAAATATAGTCAGTGCTTGTGTATGAGGTAAATTGGAGGGGATCTGTGGCATGAACATTCCAGAATGTAGTTGAAAGAGCACTACACACAAAGACAGGAGGTCAATAAATATGGGAATTGGTCCAGATTGGTAGATTTCAAGTTTTTTTCATGTCCCCTACTTTCCATCCTGCCTTCTTTTTTTTCTTTCTTAGCTTCAGAATCACTTTTTTTTTTTCAAAAGAAATAGTATTCACTATCATATAAAACAGACAAAAATGGAACTACTCTGGTTCTGTGGGGGGGAGGGGTTGCAACCTCACTGATTTGGGCACCCAAGTTCTCTCAATGCAGTATCTGAGGCACCTCTGAGAAACCCCAGTTTTAAAACATAAGAAACAAATTTATATCACCACTGGAACTAGATTATTTCTGAGGTCTATCTCAGAACTAAGAAAAAGAGAACCTTTTCTCTTAAAATTGAGGAAACCGAGGTCTAGTAGGGCCAGGTGGCCTGCTCAGGGCCATACAGAGCACACTACAGTCAGTGCTGGGACCCACTCATAGTTCAGTGCTCCTTCCATCACTTAGAAGTAGTACAGGATGGTGGTCCGAATCTCAACTCACCTAGCTACTAGCCCGATAACCTTGGCAAGACTCAAGTTCATGTGATTCCTCATTTATGAAAGAAGATGCAGCGAGGGTCCCACCTTATGCTTCTGTGAGGATTCAGTAAGATAATGCATGTATGGGACTCAAAACCTTGCTTCCCATCTGATAGGTGTTCACTAAATGTTAGTTGTACCATACTGTCCCTCGCCCCTTCTCTGAACCTTTCAGCTACAGAACATCAGACTTGTGATTATGCCTGTTCATCCTGACAGAGCACATCAACCAGATAGCGGACAGAGCTGGCTCAGACACAGGAGGCATCCAGATAATCGACAGCATACACTGGACAGTTGACTGTAAAGCATAATTGAAAAGCTAAATACAGTAAAGCTGGAAATAATTCCTATCCCTTAACTTTCCAGTGTTTGCTTTTTTTTCCCCAAGAAAAATATAGCATTGAGCAAAGGGGTTGAAGAGCTGACTGACCTGGGAGAAATGTCACATCCTTGTTGCATGAATGCTCCCAGGGAGAACCACAGACTGTTGAATATCCCAAACTCATTGGACTGGTCACTGGTTGTCTGGTCCCGCCCTTCCTCAAACTCTTCACTGTGCCATTCATAGGGGCTGAAGCGGCTGACCAGGAAAAGGACGACACTCACTCCAATGTAGGCAAAGACAATGCACATCCAAATCTCATAAGCCAAAGGATCGAGGAAGGAGAAGACCCCAGGTTTGGACTTCTGTGGCTTTTTTATCATGATGGAGATCCCCAAACTCATAAATGGCTTGGAGAAATCTATCACCTCTTCCCGGACCAAGGTGATAGTTAAAGGAGCTACGGCCACATCGGCTCTCTGCAAAAAAAAAAAAAAAAAGAAGAAGAAGAAGAAGAAAAAATGCAGTTGAGCTCAGCAGCTCTGTATTCTCTTGTTTCTCTGTCCACTGAATATTCTTTTGCATCTTAAAGGATGTGAGAGTTGAAAAGAACCTTAGAAGTCTAATCCCTCCTACTCTCTATAAGGTATTTCTTTTTTTTTTTTTAAAGATTTTATTTATTTGAGAGCGAGAGAGAGAGAGAATGAGAACACGAGAGGGGGTAAGGTCAGAGGGAGAAGCAGACTCCCTGCTGAGCAGGGAGCCCGACGTGGGACTCGATCCCGGGACTCCAGGATCATGACCTGAGCCGAAGGCAGTCGCTTAACCAACTGAGCCACCCAGGCACCCTCTATAAGGTATTTCTGACAAATGAATGATCAGCTCACTATCTTACAGGAGGGATGATCCCATTGTTTGACAAGCTCTAACTGTGAAGGCATCTTCTTCACATTACTGGAGGGGGATGTTGTGATATCTGTTGCTTCTGCCTGCCTGGCTGCCATACCTCCTTCCACCGCTGGAAAATCACTCCGGCCCCACTCCTAGTCCTTCTAGTTCAAATGGGGCTGATCACCTGGTTATGTGGTGAAGCACATGACCTGGGTTTGGCTATCAGTACTTCATTTCCCTGGTCAGAATGATTCATTCAAAAATGGCATAGGACCGGGGTGCCTGGGTGGCTTAGTGGGTTAAGCAGCTGCCTTTGTTTGGCTCAGGTCATGATCTCAGGGTCCTGGGATGGAGCCCCAGGGAGTCTGCTTCTCCCTCTCCCTCTACCCCTCCCCCTGCTCATGAATGCTCTCTCTCTCACTTGCCCTCAAATAAATAAATAGATAAGTAAATAAAACCTTTAAAAAAAAATGGCATAGGACCCAAGTCGGTTTAATGAGCATTAGCCCTGAGAGTCAGAATGAGAGATACAGAAACTGGTCCATAATATAATTTGGGCCATGCTAAATTCAGGGCTTACCCTGGACTCCTAGGAAAATGGGTTAATATATTCTGTTTGTCCCCAGGAACATAAACCAACTTTTCTGTTTGCCTAAGCCAGTTTGGATTGGGTTTCTTTTACCTGCAGCCAAGGTATCCCTGGCTAATAAGGTGATAAAGGCAAATTTAACTTAATAAACACTTATTGGACACTTATTATGTGCAAGCCCTAGGCTGGAAGCTGTAGGTGAGCTATGGTCCCTACACTCAGGGTATTACAAATTAGTAGGAGAGGTTGGTATACATATCCCCCCTCCCCCACCCCAGCCGCCCACACACAACTTCTCAGTCTACAAGGTAGGTTGGATATGTGCTACCCAAGAGATACAGAATGATACAGAAGAAAGACCAGAGAGACATTAATTTTGGCTGAGGAGATTAGGGGCTGCATCATAAAAGAGGTGACACATACAATTGGCATTGAAGGAGGGGTAGGATCTTGTTGCTCTGGCAATAGTACACATTCCAGAAGGAGGGAACCATGTGAGTGAAAGCCTTGCAGAGAGGAGGAAAAGGTGTGTCACAAGTATTTTTCAAGAAGACTCCTAAGAAACATAGTTAATTCACTTTTTAAAAATTCAAATCCAGCATGTAGATAAACATGAAAAGGTTGGAAGAAATGCTCATCCTTGGACATCCAGCATGTGGAATCACCAGCCTTGCTCTTTGGTCTTCCCTCCCTCTCTCTATTATTACACAATAAAAGTCCACTGTTCTGTTGGCCTGAGATCAAGAGATCCTGGAAACCCAAGAAGGTTCCATGGACAGGAGCCACAACACTCATTCTGGAAATGAGAGACACGTCTGTGCAAGTCTGTTCCAGGAAGCTGGCTTTCTCTCATGATGCTGCACTGCAGTGCAGATGTGAAGCTGGTGACAGATGCTGTGCAGATGAGGGCCCCGCTTAGCTGCTGGCTGGTGTTGCATAGACAAGATTTCCTCCGGTTACTTTCATTGGCTGGGGTTTGTGAGAGGGTGCTTTAGGTGGAATCAAAAGCCTGGCTTCAGAATGACTTAAATTCTCACCTAGAAAAAGAAACTTTCCATAAAGCAATGTAGAATCAGGTGTGAATTTGATAGTAATTCTGTTCTTTTCCCTAATAACCACTGCATAAATCTTGATATATATATATATATATTCTCCCCCCAAACACTTACAAGCTAGTGCAAGGGAGAAGATACCTACTCTTTCTTCCGGAACCTAACATCGAAAGAAAGATAGAAAAGTAAGGGAGGAGAAAAGTCATGGAAATAACTTAGAGGTACTACCACAAGTTATCCAAAAGGGAAATGAATGAAGACCAGCTTTGAAAGTGGTAACAAGAATTGAATGGATTTGTTTGATGCCTCCTGACGTGAGTTAACAAAAGGAATTGCAGACTGGAAAAATCCTAGCAGCACATCATCTTAGTGCTTAGTTCATTCAGCGATTCCAGGATTTGTTTCATGGAACATGATTTCTGGAAGGATGTTAATAAGCACAACATGAAAATAAACATTGGAAAACATGAATTTAAACAGGTTACTTTGGGGCAAGACTTCTCAGAACCTTTAAAAGATCACTGTGTGCTGAGAATTTCCAAGAGACGTAAGTAGATGCAGTACTTCTAAAATTATCTGACCATGGATCCTGAGCATCAAAAGAGACCCACGTGTGTAGGATACACACAGTGGGAGATGCGACATTCCGTGACCTTACTTTATAGAGAAAAAACTCAGGTCCAGAGAGCGAAGGTGGTTTGTGCAAAACTGCAGTGTTTTAGCTTGTTTGACATTGACTGAGAGGTCTGGAGAGTTGTTTCAAACACCTGAGGTTGTTCCTGGAGCTCTGCAGGATTGGTGAAAGGCCGAGCTCACTGGGAAAGCATACCCGCTGCTCTGCTCTGTGACTTGCTGACCACGTGGTCTGAAGTGAGACCGTTGTCTTTTGGGATATCAAATTCCTCATTAAAAAAAAAAGAGGCATGATAACTTTTGCTTTACCTATTTGATAGGATTGTTTTGTGAGGATCAAAAGAATTCAAATATGTGAGAATACTGTGAAGTGTAAGCGTTTCACAGAAACTCAAAATTATTTACTTAAACTGAGTTCTTAGGACAGTGGCTCTCCAAGTTGAGCATATATCACAATCACCTGGGGGATTTTAAAAACACAGGTGGCCGAGTTTCTGGATCTGAGAGTGATACCTGAGAGTTTGCATTTCTAATAAGTTCCCCAGTGATGCTAATGCTCCTGGTCCAGACATCACACTTTGAGAACCACTGACCTAGGAGCGCCCCAGACAAAATATGTGATGTCTGGAAACAATCCTGGGGACCGAGTAAACAGTTTTGATGCTGTAGGTAAAAGCAACATGCGACGAAAACCATAAGGGATCATAAGGGACGGAGATCGACTCTGAGCCAGGCACTGTATAGGTAAACTCCCCACCCCAGCCCTAGGATAAGGCATTCACTTTCTCTGTTTTTCAGGAGTTGAGTGACCTGTAGGAGTCGTGTAGCCAGTAGGCAGAGTTGGAACTCAAATCTAGGTGTCTGTCTGCAAAACTCACTCTATTTCTGCTTCACCGAGACAGAGGACAGGCAGAGAAGTCACCCGTGAATCGAGCCCAAAGCCATACCCATGCAAGAAACAGAAACTCCATTGCAGTGTGTGAATCTGCATCTGAGAATGCAGACGCTATTGCTATTCTCATTCCCAGTTAACAGTGGCCTTACAGTCTAGTGCTCGGATGGTATGATTTCTATCGAGGCAGTAGGACCCAGCGTGCAGCTGAAAGCAAGGCTACATGTCACAACTCTGCTTTTACTAGCTGTCCTTGGCCAAATGACCCACCCCCCACTGGGGCTCTGTGTCCTTATCTATAAAATGTGGAAAAGTAATTATATATATCTTATGGGGTTGTTAGGAGTATGTGAAATAATGTGGGTAAAGCATTTCGCATGGCACCTGGCACATACTATCCATAGTAAGACTACTACTACAATTTTTGAGAAGAACAAGAGGGAGCAAAAGGAAGATGAGAAACCTTGATTGGCTTAGCTATTTAAAAGGCACAGAAATAATAATTAGAGGCCTCCGAATGAGTTTTGTCCAACCTTCTAGTTGTTTGTGGCTGATAGATGCTTCCTTAATCTCCTCCATTCTTCCTCAGGGAGACAGAAAAAGAAAGCCAGACCAAAAATCAAGGATGAGTACTGAATTGGGCCCATCACAGAGTCTTCAGAATATAGTTTATACTGCGCAGAAAGATAGGGCCAATGGAGGGGAGAGGATGGATGGGGAAGGACGGGCCCTGGGGCATCAGAAGTAACTCTGGTTTCTTATGGATGAGTCAGTGACCCATCACTGACTGTTGGCTACTGGGGAGCTTGACATCAGGAGGATCGTACCATTGTTATGCCTGGATCACAGGCCTTTTGCTAAGGGAACTGCGTTCCATGGGATGAGGGTGAAGATGAATGCTGGTGGAGGTTCCCATGGAAACCAGTCTCCAGATGCAGTGTTAACCATCTGGGTCTCTGTCATCAGTGGAGCTTCCCAAGGTGAGAGAGTAGAGGGAGGAGAAAGGGTAGAAGCCCATCCCCCTCCTCAACTCATTAACCATCTTACCAGGTCATCTCAAAAGCCACTTTTCCTGTGGAAGATTTTCCTTGTCCCACCTCTCCTTTGAATTCCCTTTGTGTGGCTCTCAAGGCCATCATGATTCCTATTGTCCTGACATGGGATGATGAGATTTAACCTAAATGGTTGCTTCATCCTGACTGGAAACTCAACATCAACCTGGGACTCAGCATATGCTTCTGTTCAGAGACCCAGCTTGCAGCCTTCGATTTCTGCACAATTTCCTGCAAGTGGTGGCTGACTTATGTTGCCTTTTGTTGTTTCTCTGCTCAAGTATCTTCATCATATCCCAGTGCCCACTGAATCAATCCACTCTTCCCCATGTCATTTCTTACTCAAACGTAGCCCTGACTACTCAGTCTGAGCTCTCTGCACAAGCAACCAGTGTTTTCTCACTCTTTCTTATTTCCATCATGAGAAACTCCTGGGCTGCCCTTCTCTCTATTTGAACATGGCCACTTTTCAGGTTCCATATCCCTCTTGAGGGCTAGACAAACTCATGTTAGCCTCTTGCCTGATCCTTGAACTATGCTATCTTTTACTATTCTCTCTCATTGTATTTTCTATCCTATAAAATGTTAAGATCCTTGGGGACAGGGATCAGATCTTTTACTTCTTGGTGATTCCTTACATACTTAAAGCAATTCAGGCATTCAGTGGCTTCTCAAAACTGCTTCAACTTATTGAAGATTTTATAGCAATTGTGCATGGTGTTATTTCAAGTGTAGTGAGTGATATAAAGACAGAGAGATCTACTCCTATTACACAGATAACTATTATACAAGGTGGGGTTAGCCATAATAGAAGAAGAAACTAAATCCTACAGGGGAAAGCAAGAGCACTTACAAAGGAGAGTTTATACCTATTATGGGGGGAAGGAAATGACACCTTGGAAAAAGCAATATTTGATACAGATTTTGGAGGAAGGACAGGTCTTTGGGGGTGCTGAATAGAAGTAAGCACTCTACAGAACAGAATGACTTCGGGTAGTTTGGCAAAAGTGGAAGGTACAAGAGAGGGAGTATTGGGGTGAATGACTAGAAAGTTGGGTTGGATCCAGGATGCATCTGACCCCAGTGAAGAAATTTACATGGCGGGGCCATAAATGACTTTGAGCAGGGAAGTGGCGACTTAGCAGTCTGCCTTGGGAAAACTGGATCTGAAGCTCAGGGGTCACCTGTATTAGATAATCATCAACCGAAGTCACAAGAGTGAGCTGAGTTTGGCTGAGCAAGCTGGGACCAGGAACCTTGAGCAGAGAATGTCTTAAGATAATGGATTTTGAACCCCTCATCTTTTTGGCAGCAACAATACTGAGTTAAGGGGTCCAACAGTATCTGTGGGCAGGGCCAGCCAATCACTAAATGACTTTCTGTCAAATCCTGTCTCTGCCCTCTAATTCCCCGCCCTGTGGAGAACTTACTCCATAGACCAGCTCTCCCACCATGCCATTCCAAGCCTTGGTGTCAGGGTCACGGGCTCCATATTTTCCATCGCTGACAATCTCAAGACGGTAGGAGTAGCCCACATGCTTGGCAATCTCTGCTGCCAACTCTACACAGTAGCCCTCGTAGCGGTCATTGCCCTCAAACTGGTTGGCATTCTTCTTGAGCATCACATAAGGATCTTCCTGGTGGAGAAATGGGGGGAGAGAGAACTTGGGTTGTGGGTCCACTCAGAGGTAAGGAGGACTTTGGCCTGGCAGAGGAGGATTTCACCAACATTGGTTAACTTTGGAGAAGTCGCTCTAAGTCCCTAAATCTATGTCCTGCATTTCTGCTCCCTCGATTATAAGACTTCTTGGGTTAAGGAAGCAAACTCTTAAAATAAGAATATTTCATCACTGAGATGTAGGGCTCAGCTTTTTAAATTATGTTCTAGGTGCTCTTGTACTTTTTGGAGGTACCTCTAGGGGCACTATGCTGGGAAAGTAGACCCTGAACAGTCTCCAGCTTTCTCGTGGTCAGTCACTGAGAATGGGCAGCAGCTCCACTTAAAGTGGATATAAAGCACCTAGAGTTATGGGCTTAAGGAAACTTTCTTTGAAAATGGCTTCTACTGAGGGAATGTAAAGTCTGAGAACCACCATAATTCAGTCTCACCATTATGTTTTATATATGGGGAAACTGTGGCTCAAAGGAGGGAGTAAGTGACTTACCCAAGGATACAAAGTGAAATCATGGCAAAGCCAGACTGAAAACAGCATCTCTGACTTCTTCCTTTTTCCACTCCCTCTTTCTACCTATGGGACAGTTTTGGCAAGAAGAGTGACCACGTTTTGCTCCTGGGGAAAACCTCTGTGCTGGTTTAGCTTGCATCCCAGATAACCTCGATGAAGGACTGAGTACTCACTAGAATTGTAGTGACGATGTATGTCCTATTCTGGACACTTGAATTGTCCCCCCCAGCTTGAGCATCGGTGGCTGCAGGGACAAACTTATCATCTTCATTCCAGTAACCAATCTGTTAAGGAGAGGAAGGTGGTGACATCAGATGAGCCAGGTTCCTCAGGACTGGCCTACTGTGGACCACCCAGCCAACACCAGACCAAAAAGCAAGGGCCTCAGGATCACACCATACAATACTGGACACACCAGGCTCTAAAGTATTGGTAGATTAAAAACAAGGAGAGGTAAAATGCTCTCCAGGTCCTCCCAGCCCCACCCTTATGAACATCCTCACCATGAGGGGCTGAGCCTGGAAATTGCCCCCTTTGAGCGGGGCAGGCTTAACTGTTAAAGCAGCTGAACTATTTTGTACAATGCAAGCCAGGGCTGTGGAAATTGAATTCCCTGCAGTTGTTTACAGGTCAAACCCCTTTTTCCTCCCTGCCTATTAACCCTTCTTTTCCTGAGCTCATTCTGAATGGTAGTTGGAAACATACATTTTAAAAATTATATTCCTTTTGCTTTCTTTTTAGATTAACTGTTCCATCTAGATTTAACTTCCTAGGTGATGGTTATTTTTACCATTTATATCTCTTATTTCTAATTATAAACTCTTATAATACTGAGGATATATTAGTGCCTAAAAATACTGGCTGAAAACATTATTATTATTATTTTTTATCAGTAGGTTATTTATTTATTTATTTATTTATTTATTTATTTATTTATTTATTTATTTTTTAAAGATTTTATTTATTGAGAGGGAGAGAGAAGGATAGCATGAGAGGGAGGAGTGTCAGAGGGAGAAGCAGACTCCCCGCCGAGCAGGGAGCCCGATGTGGGACTCGATCCCGGGACTCCAGGATCATGACCTGAGCCGAAGGCAGTCGCTTAACCAACTGAGCCACCCAGGCGCCCAATCAGTAGGTTATTTATACTGGCTCATTTTCCAAGGTCTTTCAGCAAATATTTATTGGGTCCCTCTTGTGTGCAAGGCTCTGAGCTAAAACACTGGGAGTATTGTATGGCGGGTTGAGAGAGATACAAAAGTCTAAGAGGTAGTCCTTACCCCTGAGAAGTCCCCCAGCCTATTTGGAAAGAGATGACACATGCAACACATGAGATCATGAAGGATGGACAGGTTGGGCCCAAGCCTTTCAGGTTGGAGAGAACTTGAACATGTGTCAAAATGTGAAGGCAGGACTCTGCCTAGATCTGTAAGTTCAGTGGCTCCTGGGTAGAAGATAGGGTTAGCCCAACAGGGCAGCGGGCATGTGGGTCTGGGTAGCAGATGGATTTGAATGCCAGGCTAAAAAGTACAGACTTTATCCTAAAGGCAACAGGGAGTCATGGAAGGTTTGGGAAGAGCAGAATGGTATGGCTAATACACATATACACACAAATACACACTTCTGTCTCTGTCTCTATTTATCGTTAGACTGTTGTGTTTTTTCTTTGGTCATTCTGCTGCCTGTAGATGTAGGGTAAGGGAAAGAGAACTGGAAGTGCATATGCAGAGGGATGAGCAGGCCTCCCACGTGCCAGAACTCAGCTCAGGCTCCCAGAGTTGAGGCACGGGCCAGTGGTCAACTCAAATAGCACTGTCACCTTGATGTCTTTCCCTGTTCCCTCGGTTGGAAAGAAGCAATTCTCTCTGTGATCTCACTGCCATTAACAACAATGATGATAATTGCCAACACTGATTATGTTCTTTCTATGTCAGATGCTGAGTGTTTTAAAGTTTTTGTGCCATTTCATTTGGCTTAAGGGAGTTTGTAACTTGCCCAAGGTGATGCAGCTGGAAAGTGGCTATGCTGTTCTTGCTACCAGGGGACTTGGCTCTGGATTGGGAATCATCTTAGTTAACAGTGAGTGCTTCCTGGGTTTTAGGCACTCTCCTAAGTGTTTTTTATGTTTTAACTTCTTCCAACCTTACAAAAACCTATGAAGTGGATACTTAATTATCATTCCCATTTTAAATGTGAAGAAACGGAGATGTGGAGAGTCACAGAGCCAGGATCTGAGCCGAGAAGACTGACTGCAGGGCCATTCCCTATGGTGCTCTAGGGAGCTGCCTGCCCACCCTTAGTGCCTCAAGTAGGTCTCCACTGGGGATCCCCTGTGGTCTGGCTGTTTGTATGTCCATCCCCATCTCTCCACGGTGCTGTGGGCTCCTGGTGGACAAAGCTAGAGGTCTATTCCTTCTAGAATGCCTTTCTTAGCACAGCATATTCTTTCACAGAGAAGCTCAGGAAATGTTTGTTAAGAGAATGTGTACCTCCAACATGGAGACAGTAGACCCTGTCGGTGCTGAGACAGCTCAGAGGCCTGTCTCTCAGGACACTGGGTCAAGATCTACCCTCAGTGCAGGCACATGCACGATGTTGCCTGTGTGAGGCACTTTTGGTCAGCACTGAAGGAGACATTCTCTTGTATGACACAAGCACCAGAAACTCAGATTTCCAGAATGTCAGAGCTGGAAGAGGCATGAAGAATCATTTCTTCCAACCCCTCCCTTTTTTTTTTTTTTTTTAATTATAGTGTATTATTTGTTTCAGGGGTGCAGGTCTGTGATTCATCAGTCTTAATACAATTCACAGCACTCACCATAGCACATACCCTCCCCAATGTCCATCACCCAGCCACCCTGTCCCTCCCACCCCCCTCCACTCCAGCAACCCTCAGTTTGTTTCCTGAGATTAAGAGTCTCTTATGCCAACCCCTTCCTTTTATAGAGAGGGACCATGGGCCTTGTGCAAAACCAGGATGCAGTCTTGCCTCCCTCACTTTGCTAGGCCAGTGCTCCCTGGAACCCTGGGGCATCTGTGGAGACCTTTCCCCACTTTCATGGGAGGTGGGTGAGGGGTCAGAAAGTTGGGGGGAGAGCTCCTGGTTCCTCATCCCTCCTTCAAAACTGTCAGCTCTGCTTTTTAGCTCTTTCACATATTGGGATTCCCTTTAACAAGGAGCCCTCTGGCTGAAAATGTTTAAAACCACTATTGTAGTATATCACTATGCAAGTTTTAAAAAATTCCGAAAGTACTTTCACAACATTTAACTCTTTTGCTCTTCGTGACATGCAAATAGCACAGACAGGCTTGGGATTATTTTCTCTGTTTTACAGATGGGATAATGGAAGCTTGGGGAAATCAAATGATTTAACTTACACTGATTATATAGCAGATTAGTGGCAGGGCATAGAAGCCAGGGCATCAACCCCAAAGGTTAGATTATTTAATATAATCAATACAAACTTGGGAGAGGGGCTGGCAAATGTAATTTTTCCCCCCATAGATGATGCTAAGGGGTTTTCATTCCCTTTTCCTTCCTCTCCACCTTCCCTTCCGTTCCCTCCCCTCCCTTCCCTCCCTTTCCCACCCCTTCCCTTCCTTTCTTCTTTCTTCTTTCTTTCTTCACAACTAGCCACAGGTTTAGAGGCTCCTACTCAAACCGTCATTATAGAGCAAGTTGCTTCTTTTGACAGGCAACTAATTTCTCTAAAATCTAGTGTATTATTAAGTATTATTTTTTAAAGTGGGGGCTTGATAGTCAAGACATTAATCTCTGGCATAGAAAGACATGGTTTAAGAGATAGACTTTCCTAATTTCTAACCTTAGGGCCAGTTACCTGACCTCATTGGGCCCTAAATCCTGCTCTGTAGAACAGATACATCAAAAGTGTCTGAGTATCTGATACAGAGTATCTGTCTCTCGGGGCTGCTGAGGCTTAAATGAGTTAATGCATGTACAACAATGAGCATAGTGTGTGGCTCATATTAAGTTGTCAGTAAACTAAAAAATGATTTCAGTTGGATAATGCCTAGTTGAAAGCTAACAAGTTTCTGTGGTATAAGACATTTCCAGATCAATTTACTTTTGAAATTGTCAATCACCAAAAGAAGTATATATTATAGAGCATTTCTTAAATTCATTTGGCAAAGTAACCCTCTTTACATGTAGAATGTTCTAGGGTAAGTGCTCCCCAAACCACAAAACAGTGCTCTAAAATCCCATGTTATTTTGATAAGGGGGGGAGCAAGATAAATCTGTGTAGACCAGATTTATATGGCTTAGAAAGAGACTTTAATTTTTAAAGATAGTGGTCCTTCAAAGCTAGTATCATGGCACTAATGTTAAGTTGGGATCTATAAAAATGATTGTATAGCTTGGCTTATATAGTTTCTTTGATATCAAAAGCCAGAGGAATAGTTAAATGTTATAAACAAGTTTATTTTATGTAGGGAAATAAAACAATACTGCCAGTCAGAAGAGCGGGGTGATGCCAAAGCCCAGCTTGCACCTCACGTAAGCTAACAGGCTGAGAAATCTGATTCCACAGTTCGATGAAAAGAAAGTTGGCACAGATTTTTGAAGAGACACTGCACGTCAGAGATGAGAGCAAATTTCCCTTTCTTAGAGAAATGGGTTGGATTATTATATAGCACTTTGATTCTCTGCTGAGGATATGCAGGATCTTTGATTCTATCTGAAAGAAAATCAGAGCTAGTGGTTGGGTAAAGAATGGGGCCCATTATTCAGGAGGGGATTTAAACAATTCTAATACTGAGAGGTCTTCTCCTGGGGCCAGTTATAATTTTTGATCTCCTGTTTCCATCTACCTCTAAAGACTCTTTGAATGTAGGAAATGAGTCTAGATGTTAGATCAGATTTTTTTTTTTTTGAGTGAATGAAGTCTAAGAAGAGATGATTATAGAAGAGTAAATTCCATTGATCTACCTTGCACAGCTAGCAAGTCAGATTTACACATTTGTATCTCTTGGCTGTCTCTACAGCCACAGTCCGGCACCTCCAAAAATGAGACCCGTTATAATATATTTTTAAAAAGTCAGTTGCCTTTTGTGGCTAAGACAACTAAATGACCAGCAAGGATTCTTGCTCTCTTTCCCTAGCATAGAGGTGTTGGTGGGAAGTGGCTCCCTAGCCAGCAGTTGCAATTCCCACCCTGCCTGGCATCTAGGTGGGCCAGGCGATTGGGTTCTGGCCAGTGGAATAGAGCAGAAGTCATGCACATGTCTCCTAGCCTGACTCCCCCAAATCTCCGGGGCAGGTTCTTCC